AGTGTCTGACAATAATTTTAGCTAATTTTGGTTTTCGTTGTTTTCTTTGCTTTGTTTACTTTTCGCTCGTTTTCCAGTGAAACAAGATGGCGTAGAACCCGCTAAAAAAATCGACTTTTTTCACTCTCTTGTTCTTACGTGATCTTGTGTCTTTCGTTCATGAGTCAACACAAGGCGAATTTATACAAGGTGGTGTTGATGGCGAAGTCATTTTGACATTAAGAAGTACCGCGGCGAAAATCTAAATTCGCCATCAACACCACCTTGTATAAATTCGCGCTCTTCGAAGGCTAATTCACAGGGATTGAGGTGGGCATCTAATGGATCTGGTTCATTTCTAAATTCGCCATCAACACCACCATGTATAAATTCGCCTTGAGACAACACTTCTGATTTTAGGTGTGTAACTAAAAGTCAGTACTAATTTGTATTAAAATCTGCAAATTTTTACTGGAAAAGCATATAATAACCTAAAAAATTTGCAAGAGAGCACTGAATCGAGAGCGTAATAACACGGGAGAACTGCAAATTCTTGCTAGTGAAATTTTTACTAGCAGAAGAAGAACAAGAAAAAATATCAAAAGCGCCATTTGTTGACTTGGTTAAGCGTAAACAAAAGTAAAATGAGTGGAAATCAAAATAGGAATGATGTACTGGACTGTGTAATGGCTGATTCACATACAACTTTCTTCGCTTTGCTTGATAGTTCTTTGCTTTGACATATAAGATCGATGTAGGCATATGCATGAGTATGCTCACATAAAAAACGTTTGAAGCAAAGCAAAGCAAAACGAAGCAAAATCTTGGGCAACTCTCAACTTTTGCCCGCTTTGGCAATCAGCTGTCTACATGTATCTTTTCTCGTGCGCTTGCATTTGCATTTAATGACAAAAATAGAGTAAATAGGAATTTTTATTGCTATTATTAATGCATATTCTTATATTGTTATCTAATTTACAGATAAAATATATGGAGGAAAAGGAGAACGCAAAAGTTGTCAAAGCGTTTATTGTAGCATACCTTCTGCGTTTCACGCTTTGTTGTCAAAGTTTGAACTGTCAAGCAAAGCGAGGAAAGTTGTATGTGAATGGCCCTTAAGTGCTTGGGTATAGCAAAGAGTTTAAAACTGATTTATAACTTGCAATAATGTGTCAAAACAGCGCAACAACTCTCCACCTGCAAATTTTTACTAGTTTTGAGTTCAATAACTTTTTCTGGTAGTTTTCTCTTCCCAATTTTATGCTCTTGCTGCAACGACACACCTTTGTAAAAGGTCCTACACACGGATTGATTTATCGGCCAACCAGTTGGCCAACCGCTTGAAGTTGTTGGTAAATAAGCCGTGTGTAGGCAAGTTGGCAAACCTTCGTCCAGTTGCTCGTCAGGTTGGAGTAAAATCAAAAATTTTCGATTTTTGAGGCAGATTGGTCAACTTGTAGCTCTCTTTGTAGACAAGTTGGCAACCTAAAATGTGATTTAATTTTTTTAAAAGCCCATTAAGGTTTACATGTGTTTTTCGGTTCGTTTCGCTAGTGGAAAAGCGTATGATTTGTGAAAACGGGGACCGTAGCGAAGAAACATACAAATAACGAAACTGGTTGGCCGATAAATCTATGCGTGTGTAGGGCCTTTAAAGGAACTAGTGTTGTCAAAAAGAGATTTCACATGTGAATTGAATTAAAATTTTGTGTTTGATTTTCTTATTTGGATCTTTAACTTTATAAAAACTTTGGAGCGTAAACTTTATAAAAAGGATGTCATTTACATCGCGTCTTTGTCGTGTTATCAACTCGTCGGCACACGTGCAGCGTTATGCAACTCGCGCGCTTGCCAGTGGAACACCGACATCATGGTCATTTCGCTGGAACCAACATTTGGGAAGAAATAGTATGACTATCCGAGGATTATTTAATTCTTTTTTTGCATAGCTACACTTATTTCCAGGTCTCCAATTTGTGCGATACATTGCTTCAGAATCCACAGCATCAGCGACAGCCGATGATAAGGGACGTTTGCACACTATAATTAGGCAAACAGAGAAGCCGGTTGGCGAGGTTGATAAGCACGAGTTTCAGGCGGAAACGCGAATGCTATTGGATATTGTAGCTCGTTCATTGTATTCTGAGAATGAAGTATTTGTTCGTGAATTAATTTCAAATGCTAGTGATGCATTGGAGAAGTTTCGCTACACTGTACATACAGCTGGAGAAAACGAGAAAAACTATGAAGCTACCGACCGTCCGCTGGAGATCCATATTGCTACTGATAAGCAGTTAATGCAATTGACGATACAGGTAAAATTTGTTAATAAATAATAGAAAGTTTTGGCAAAACTACATTTCCCAGGATACCGGTATAGGCATGACACGGGAAGAGCTTATCAACAATTTGGGTATGATAGCCCGAAGTGGATCTAAAAAGTTTCTAGAGCAAGTGAAAGAAAAAGGTGGTGGTATGGAAAATTCATCGAATATTATTGGGCAATTCGGAGTTGGGTTCTATTCTGCTTTTATGGTTGCTGACAAAGTGGAAGTATTTACGCGCTCTTCGAAGGTTAATTCACAGGGATTGAGGTGGGCATCTGATGGATCTGGTTCATATGAAATTCAAGAGGCGGATGGCGTGGCCCATGGTACCAAAATTGTTATTCACTTAAAACCTGAATGCAGGGAATATGCAGATGAGGACCGCATTAGAGGTTGGCTTTTTATTACTTATTATATTTAAAATAAATGTATATTAATTTTCCATTCAAGCGGTTATTAAAAAGTATAGTAATTTTGTTGGCTCACCAATATTCCTAAATGGCCAGCGCGCAAATGACATTCAGCCTTTATGGTTGATGGAACCGAAAGATGTTTCACAAGACCAGCATAATGATTTTTACCGTTTTATTGGTAATACATTTGACACACCTCGTTTCGTCCTGCATTATAAGGTAAAGTACAATAACAAAAGCCCATTAGAAAATAACTTAATTAACATTGGATTTCTCAAGACTGATGTGCCACTTAGCATACGCGCCTTGCTTTACTTCCCCGAAGGTAAACCAGGCTTATTTGATCTGACCCGTGATGCTAATGTCGGCATAGCGCTTTACACACGCAAAGTTTTAATCCAATCGAAAACCGACAACCTCGTACCCAAATGGCTTCGATTCATTAAAGGTTAATGAAATATAGTATAACTAATTAAAAAAACAATGTTCTTAGAAGCTAGATTTACTGTACAAACATTTGATTGCAGGTGTCGTTGATTCAGAAGATATCCCGCTTAATTTAAGTAGGGAGCTGCTACAGAACAGCGCTTTAATCAAGTAAGTGACAAAACCCACAGTTCTCATGGTATTTTGTTTATGGAAATAATATAAATAATATATGTATAATTCTCATAGAAAACTTTCAAACGTGCTGGCAAGTCGAGTATTACGCTTCCTACAGGAGCGTGCCAATAAGCAACCTGAAGAGTATGCCGCTTTTTACAAAGATTATGGCTTGTTCTTGAAAGAAGGCATAGTTACATCAAATGACCACAATGAAAAGGAAAATATTGCAAAACTTTTGCGATTTGAATCATCCAAGAATATGGATGGCAATCGTGTCTCTCTTTTAGACTATTTTACGAACGTTGGCGAACAAAAAGATATATACTATCTGGCTGCGCCAAATCGAATTCTAGCTGAATCTTCTCCTTACTATGAAAGCTTGAAGAAACGTGGTGTTGAAGTACTATTCTGTTACGAACCCTACGATGAACTAGTGCTTATGCAATTAGGAACATTCCAAGGCAAAAAATTAGTATCTGTTGAAAAAGAAATGCGTGAGGATGGCGCTGCCGAGAATATAACAGACTATGGAGAAGGCAGTCTGTTACGTACGCAGATAGACGAACTCTTGCCTTGGATAAAGGAGCGACTGAAGGGAAAAGTGGCAAATGTAAAAGTGACAACGCGCCTGGATTCGCATCCTTGTGTAATTACAGTCGAAGAAATGGCTGCTGCCCGACATTTCATACGGACACAAAGTCATCAATTGCCCGAGGAAAACCGGTTTGCCCTATTGCAGCCACAACTGGAGATCAATCCCAAGTAATAAAATAAATCAATACTTTTTATTTTTAAACACTTTCTTATCATATTTATCCATAAAACCATCATATAAATTTTTGTAGGCACGAAATTATCAAGAAGCTGAATAAGCTACGAACAAGTGATCCGGACCTCGCGGAATTGGTTACGCAACAGCTTTTCGCGAATGCCATGGTAGGAGCTGGATTGGCTGAAGATCCACGAACCCTGCTATTAACCATGAATGATTTATTAACAAAAGCATTGGAGAAACACTAGAAAATTTTGCTTTAAGGTGTGCAATTGAGGAACATTAGTCATAGTTTTTATTTGATACAAATTTAGTTGTTTTCGGTATGAAGAGTATAGAAGAAAGCAAAAAAAAAAATTACATTTAAAATAATCAGCCCTATCGCCAATTTCATGTCAATAAATTGTTCCCATAATTTAACATGCAAAACAAAAACAAATTGAGAAAAATTGTTTTTGTTTTGCTATATAATTTTTCGGAATATTTGTTCACGTGAAATTCGCGATAGAGCATAATAAAATTAAAATAGTTGAAATGAGAATAAACCAACTTTTAAATTTGCATAGGATTTGTTTACAGAGCTGTTTTCAAATACCAATACATATATCTCGTCTTTTTAATCGACTTAAGGAGGAGGTTACCAATTCGTCGGAATATTTTTTGTATGTATGTCATGGCATAACTTTGGACGACGTTAACCAATTTCGATATCTGTTTGTAATGTTTTTAAAAGAAAGGTACTTCAGAGGAGGTCTCATACTAATTTGGTTTGGATCCGTTTAAGTATCCGTGCAAGTATGATTTGTTTTTTGCTTAAAAATTACTTGTCTAAGATATCGCGGAAATATCATGATCTTTAGCATTTATAAGGATAATACTTATAAAGAAGTTTATTCTTGAATATACTTTATCTTTTGATTAGATACTCATATAGAAAATTATTTGAAGTATGAGACCGATTGAAATTTGTTGTCTTAAGGAGATATTGAAACATGACAAAAAAGAAACCTCTTTGAAGTTCAAGCTCAAATACCTATATCGTTCAAAATGGTTTCAAATCTGTTTCTGCTATTTTTAACCGACTTGACAAAACGGAGAAGGTTATCAGTTAAACCCGACTTCGTTCCGCCGCACAGGCAAACGTTAGTGTTCTAGGGTTAAAAAGCTCGGTATAATCAGTGCAAGGCGCCATCTTACGTTTAACTTACTCGACGCGCAACTCTGCCTCACGTGAACTGTCAAAATTAAGAATGAAAGCGTAGACTACATATCGCCTTCTCGCTTTACTTGCGAGAGAGAAACAAAGTCGGTAATGCCTCTCACGTGTTTAACCGCTTTGCGCGCTCTTTATTAGCATTTCCATGTGAATATATACTCAATTCCCCTCTTCAATGCAAATCATACCAATTAGGATTTGAGTTTTGATACCTGAAAACAACATAAATTCAAGATAATTTCTTGATTTGGAAATGCCTGCTCATCTTTAAAAGCAGAAATGTTAATATTAGGATTGCCAGTATTCACGTCTTACTGATATTCGTTGAGAAATATAAATTTCAATGGTCACGCGCAGTTAGAAGGGAAAATTTTAGTTCACATACAAACATACACACAAACCAATAAATTCCGTTCGATGCGCGTGTGACGTTCTCTTGCTCATGCACCCTTACCCCAACCCAGTGCTGATTCAACTTGTGCTGGTCATATGACCATTATTTTAATCATGCGCATGCAACAACTATATTTACTACGAAAGAGCTATCACATGCGTGTGAAGAGTGCGGCCATATGATTGTTCTATTTGTTGAGTGTGATAGCTGGTGTATATAGCGAATGACAAAGCTATGCAGCAAATTGAGCTACGCGGAGTTTGACGTTCAGTGCAGGAATTGAAATCACTCACAGTGTTGCCAGCGACCGAACCGACCAGTTCTTGTTTGAACTCCTACGCTCTAGCAGCAAATTGCCAGTCAAGACCCAAGAAAGGCCTAAGCTAACCGCAAGTTAGTCAAGTGAGTGTTGTAAAAGTGCAATTTGTGAGGAAAGTTAGGAAAAAAATAAACTTTACGGTCAGCGATGTGTGTTGAAGTCATAGAAAAAAGTGATTTGCTGAATTCGATTAGTACCATTTGCTGAAAAGTACTTTGCTGTGAGCAGACGATAGTCGATTCACTTTCATCATGGGCAGGGGAAATTAGAAAGAATACGCAAGAAAGGAGAACAAAATTGCCACGACATTTATTGAAACGTGCAAAAGAAAGTGGCAAAAAGGAGCACCGTTGCGTTGAGACCCATATGTTCAAAGAGTAGTGACTCGTTGAGATTGTATCATTTCATTCGGTACCGACAAATTTTTTGTTGGGCGTTCCGGTAAATTAACTTGTTAATTTGGAATTCTTTGTGATAGTTTTACGGAATCAGATTTCTTCGAAGTTTTTTGTCATTCTGAACTTTTAATTTTCATAAAGTGTGCAGCATTATAATTGCGTGTATTACGAGTATAAATTTGATGTGTATAAAATACATCATTGCACAAAGAAAAGCAACAACAGCAAATAGAAAATACGAAAAATACTACTCTACACCCGAATACGCCAACGACAGAAGGTGACGACAACGTTGCCGACGTTAATGACGAGACAAAATCAAAAACGAGACGTAACGAAGCGAAACAATTGAAGAGAGAACGGCAAAAACAGTAGTAGACAAGCAGCAGTCACAGTGAAGAGCTCTGAAATTTAAAAGGTGCTATCAAGTAAAATCGCAAAATAAATTACAAATTTCCTATTTGATTACAATAGATATTTAAAAAGAAGACACAATATTCTTTAAGAAGAGAATTAACGTACGATTTCGCAAAAAATAGCTCGGTAAAGTTTCCCTTCAACACACATACAAAAACCGATCCCAGTTGAATATAAAGAAATAGAAATATTGTAAGAGACGAGTGTACATCTTAAGCAGCAAGCCCTAACGAAAAAATCAAATTAATTTTCTTTTTCGTAGAAAAATTTATAAAACACCCCGCACATACACAATAAAACAGAATCATGTCTGATGCATCGAGCGATAACCCAATCTACGGACCCTTCTTCGGAGTCATGGGAGCAGCCTCAGCCATCATCTTCAGTGGTAAGTAACTTGGTTAAAACTAGAAATTTTGTACGAAAACTGTAAATTGCGTCGAAACAGTGATTCGCATTCGGGAAGACAAGTGAATTAGCTGAAAAAATAGTAAAGACGCAAATAGACGGCATTATTTGATAGTCACTCCTTAAAGTGGGCATTCAGTCAGTGGGCCGATAATGCATTCGGTCCACGTTTTTCATTTTTGGGTGGGTGGCAGTGGCCGTGAGATCTTATAAAGGGAATATCCAAGCAGTAGTATACATAGGAAAAATGCAATATGCTAACAAACAAAAAACGGTTTCGGGCCAAAGGGAATTAGAGTAAACAATATATGTATCTAAATTTGCACGAAAAGAATTTTTCCTATTATAATCGAGCAACTAGAAAAAAATCAAAAATTTTGGCAGATGAATGAAGAAAGGCAAAAGAAAAAAGACCATGTGAAATGTGTTTGGCACGTATGTATGTACATATATAGGTATATATGAACATACATAAATATATGTAGATACATATCTAGTCATCTAATGGCAGGGCCGTCGGGTGGAAGGATGTAAAATTGGCACATACAGTCTTAAGTGCATATGTATGTGATAAAAGTAGTGATGAAAGTAGAAAAAACCGCTATAAATGTAGGACGAAAGGATAGGTTGCTTGTTGGTGCTTTTCGCTGAATTTGTTGATGAAAATTGATAAAATGAATGTTCGAATCTCATCCTTATTGAAATACACTAAAAGGAACATAAAATAGTTTTGTTCTGTAGCATGAGATAAAATTTTTAGTATCTTGATAGAGTCAGGTATTTACTTGTACGTACGGTTCTAGTCATGCGTTTGTAAATTTTTGGAAAACTTGGACCTACTTCGAAAAATAGTTATAAATAAAAAAGAAGTAAAGTACTTGTAAACTTTAGTCGTGCACATTCTATCCGTTATTGTTGAGCAGAGAAAAGAGCTTTTTAAATGGTTATCAGACCCCGCTCTGTTGTAAGCTAAAATGAGAAAGGCAATTTGTTTGAGCTCTTCATGTAAACTGCACGCAAGAGAGTAAGGAGAGCAAAAGAGCAATCTTTTTCGGGATATAATGACTCAACACGAAAAGCACCAAGTGAAGCTCAAATAACCAAGATATTAAATGTTATATGGAAAACCAGTTGGAAATGTGCTTGTAGGTGTTTTCAGTGCGATGGGGTGGGTGGCGGTAATTTTAAGGTTAAGCCTGAATGGCATACGACAAAGTAGTATACACACAAACACGTACAATTTAATTTTATTGTAAAAAGTCATGAGACTGCCTCATGCTTTTTTTGCCTTGGTTGACGACGCCATTGCGTACGATTCCTTGAATATAAGGCTTTTCTTAATGAATAAACAAATATTGGTTAATTTTAAATTCAGATGTTAACACTAAAGCGGTCACATGCTCTTATTTGAAATCACATGGTCAATTAACAATTTGTTTGATAAGACAGCAAAGAATATTCATACATAAGTTAACTTGCCAGAGTAAATTGCTTGAAAGGTGGCAGAGAAATCTTTTAATGAATTGAATTCATTTAGTATTTAAAACCCCATATTAAACTAATAAATATATGTGCCTTATGTGCTTTACATCACCTTTAATAAAACTAAATTTAAAGGATTTACCTAAATGAACCACTTCAGTCACGGGGCTTCCAGATATTACGCAATCAGAATAACCTGTTATCATTTCCTCTCAATTAGTTTAGCTTGCGAAGAAAATGCACAAATATCACATGCCAGTAAAATATTCTAACCGAGTTAGCTGATAACGATATTTGATAAAGACACTGTTCTTGACAGAATTGTTTACTTTGCTCTCATAAAATTTTCATCTGTTTTCTCTGTTAGTTAAAAAGGCGAATTCGCTTAATATGTCATTGTTGAAATTAGAGATTTAGATATATTTTTTATACATACAATGTTTAGAAAGTTCAGTACATGTTAATTTAAAAACAAAACGCACGTATCAACTCATAACTTCCATATTATAATTTTACTAAAGCATTTTAAATAAATAAAAAAGGTTATCGACATAGAGTTATAATACCAGCATCAAATCTCGCTAACCTACAGTATTTTTTCTGTATAGTAGGTTATCCAGTTGCCCAAACGAGTCACATGAGTAACTGACAGCGTAGTTTACAATTGTCTTCCACACACTCGTTTATCCGATACTTCCTTTTATGTTATTTCGCCTACTGTTATTCATTCACGCTTCGTCTTGCGGATTCTCAGCAATTGAGTCATTCACATACACATACTAAGAAAAAGAATAACCAATAAATAGAATTTAAAGCATAACAATCATCTGAGGGTTTCTTCAGATTGCATGAACATCTTGTTTTATGGAACTTTTTATTTATTGAAACTAAATTATATAGTTACAGTGTAGTTTGAAAATACGTGTATGACATTGATCATAAAGCTGTGAAGTACTAGTGCAAATCAAAGATTATTCTTGCCGCTAGAACATATGGGAAATAAAAAACGTATCTCTTAATTCAGTGGCTATGATGCTTTACTGCTTATAAGACAGACTGTTTATTTATGCTATGTATGTAAAGTGTTACGGTTACTTTGTGATCCCTGATTAAAATTTTGTTCATTTGTATGAAGCAAATAAAATCGACTTATCCAGTTTCTATAAATATAATGCCCTGCTTTGTGGCATGCCATTGAACAGTAAATTTTGCTTCTCATAACTTTGAAAGGCTTCGTTTCATTGAACTTTTCGCTTGTGTCTACAGCAAATATACTTGTATGTGCTCCATATTCCTCGTAATGAACTTCTATTGCCGTGTTATATATGTGCATGTAAACTACCGGTTTTGCTTTTTGGTCCGCTATAGACTCTTATGAAATTTGTTATCGCTGAAAGCACAGACGCCCTTTTTCAAACAAGATTTGTAGATAATTTGCATTTCATTGTTCAGATGTTTTTCTGAATGTATTTATTATTTCGACCAATGCATTTATATGGGTTTGAATCTGGTACTTAATGAGACCATTACTACTTCGTCACGTCACGTGATATTACAAGATTAATAAAGACCATTTTTCTTTATAAAAAAAACCGCAACGCCCACGAACATGTTTTGGTTATATATTGCACGAGCGCGTCTAGACGTTTACGCATTATCCGCTCATTTTTGTATTGTACTTCAAATTCGGCAGCTATTCGTGTGCTCATCTTCGTTATTTTTATATTAGAGCATGTAGCCGCTCAATGCTGTGAAGAGTGTGAACCTAAAAACTGCCTACCTTCAGACTTTATGTTTGATGAAAGGAAAGAACAATTATACGAATTGTAGCACATGTAGAGCAGCATAACAATGACCTCCATCGCTCACAGATTTGGACAAGTTCTCTCTCAGATGCACAATTGCATCCGTATACAGTGTGTTCGAGAAAACGTCATCGATTCACATTTAGTCAACAATATGTATGTACATATATATGCAAAGTATATTTCGTTCAAAAGAAAATGTGAAATGTACTCAACAAAACCCCGACGATTCATTAATAGTTTTTACGCAGCATTATTTTATTTAGTGCTGGGCATAAATGATTTCTATACATGTAGTATATGCCCCTTTAATTCATTTATCATGTGAATGCCAATGAGAATGCGTGTTTTTCTGATTTCAATGCCAGCGTGCCTTAAAAATATTTGATTCGCATTTAAAATCAGCAAGTCGATTTATTTTTATTCCAGTTGATTTGTAACTGCATGTACATATGTATGTACATACATGTACTGCATGATTCACTTTACTCAGCTTGCACAGATTTGCATGGCTTAGCTCAACTTCAAATATCCATCTTAATATTGACATCCAATTGTAGCCGCATTTAAGCAAATTTATGTAATCAAAATGGCACATATACACATGTATTTAAACCTTGAATGAAGAAAGCATCAGCTACCACCTGCTTTTAAATTGTTTAAAAGTTTCAAGTATGGATTTTGTTACGTCGCGAATTTAAAAAATTGTATTTCACTCATCACATCAATTTGCATTTTTAGTGTTTTGCTATTCCTATGTTGATAAGGTTAGCTCTCTTGCTTTTTTTTCCATTTTCATTTACATTTATTTTGTTCGAGTGTTGTTTTTGCTCTTTCAGTTCTTTCCTTATTGCTTTGTTTTTATGTCTGCTGCTTTTGACTATTTACATACATACATATATCCCAATATAGGATCTTCAATGCGTTCGTTTGTACAACTGTATGGCTTTGTGCTCAAACGTGACGTAAACTGCTTTTAAATATTAAATAAAAACAAAAAAGAATGGCATACAAAAAATAAGAAAAATGTGCTTCATTGTTTTATTGGCAACGATTGGCGTCTATGTTGTAGGCTAGTCGGTTTCAAATACACACGCTGTTTCTTTATTATACATAGTATGTTTTGTGATACATCAAAACGCCAGTATTGGCCTATATATATTTCCTCACTATCAATCTCATTTTTATTAATTCACTGCGGTGCTTTAATAAACTAAGATATCAAAATAAAAGGGGAAATTACAGATTTAACAATATCGGAAAACCCGAAAAAGTAGAAATTAATGAAAAACAATCGGTTACACTTAAGTTCAACAGCTCAAACAAGTTTTACCTTAAATATGAAAATAACAAAAAAGTAATATACTTAATTAAAATGAAATTGTCAAATCCTTATGAAGCTACTCCAAAAACCTGACCTTCTGCCGGCCAATTGGGTTGCCCTTCTCCACCGGATAATGTTTATATCTTGATACATTCGTATGTCAATATAAATTTCCGTTGGAGACCGCTCATTGCTCTTCAAGAGCCATATGAATCAGAGCTTACATCTTGCCATCAATTGCCGGCAATTTGGTAGTTTGACAGCTACCAAACTTCGTGGCGGCAACATTAATGATATTTTAATATAAAAGCAAAAACTTATCTCTTTTCAATTAAAATATTTTGAATTTTGCTGCTGTATGGTATATACTACATAACATGCAGCTGTGCCGTAATAAGCCGAGAATTCTAGCGGCTATACGGATTTAGCAGTGGTAGATGAACAATGCAAAAACTAGTGACTTGCTGCTACAAGTAAAGTGCTGTCAGGCAAGGCAATGCAGCATTTCGAAAAGGCTGCCAAATTGAGAAATTTTTGTTTATTTCCGAAAAGTAAATTGCAAATTTTGCACAGCGAATGAATTTCTTGTAATTTTTCTCGATATTTAAATGCAATCATGGGTCGCCTTTTCTGTTGTTTGTTGAGAAAGTAAAATTTCTCTTTCTCAATAGGGGTATTCTCTGAGTCTTGCGAAGCCCTTGCATGGTGCACAGATTGCACGGATTGCACGGTAAAAACCGGTTTTCGTATGGGACAGCTTTGCAAACCGTGCAATCCGTGCACCGTGCAAGGGCTTTGCAACACTCAGAGAATACCCCTAATATAACAGCGAATTGCGTGGAAAAGTTGCAAATATTGCCGCGTCTGACAGCGCTTGTACGAGAGTTGGGAAATAAGCACACAATTGCGCTTATGAAGACTCGAGCCATAATTCAATTCACTTGATTATTGTTGGCTGTCTTTGCTGAGCTGTACTTCTACTCAGAATTAGACTCGATATTTGAATTGTTTCGATATTCTCCGTTCTGTTACGTGATTGTGTACGATGATCAATTCAACTAATTCTAGATGTGGCATTTTCGCTACACATTTGTATTTATTAAATATAACAGGCTGCCGTCAAGCTAGTCTGGTTGCATTTATTTTCTTTGCACTCGCTGAAACGGGTAAACAAATATATTCCAAAATTATTTATTAAATTTTCATAAAGTGTGCTATAAAACTTTCAGTTTCATGTTTTGTATACCAAGGCAGCTTTACGCTTGAACAATCGATTTTTGCTTTTAATCTCCCCTTCAATTGCTTATAATAAGCTTCGGTGCTTTTCCGTCAGCTTTTTGACAGCTAGAAAAAATTATGCACGTAATTGCTATTATAATATTGTGGCTTGTGTTATTAATTAGCACGAAATCACATGACTGCAGCTACAAACCTATGTATGTATGTACCTATGTACATGTATCTCATATCTATCCAACTGTCATCGCTATTACTCCCAACTTCACCCTGCTTGTGGCGTACTATGTACAGTACTCGTTAATAATGACGATCGTTCAGCTTTTAAGTGATAGCATGAAAGAGCAGCGATAGATATTTTCGTGGAAAATAAGCAAATAAATTGGCATTTCTGACAGTTGTCAATATGTTTTTGCTAGAAGTCGAGTTCCCCTCGGGGGTGTCCTTCAAGCATCGCTAAATTTTTAGTATCGATATTAGCAGTTTGCTGAATTCATATATACATATACGTGTATGTGTGCATGTGTATCTTTGTAAATAATATTCCAACTCCATTTTGCGCGCATTTCTGTTCGGATGCCTGTTATGTTTCAAGCTTGAACTTTTTACTGAAGCTCGCTCAACAACCGCTCGCTCGTTGCAACCTTAATTAATTTGTCGTGTTTTTTTACATTTTTGCTTTTGCCTATAACCGGTTATTTCTCATTTTTTATAAGTTCGAATTCACATACGTATATGTATGTATACCTTGTGTACATATGTATATACGATAAATGCGACCGCGAATTCTTAATTCTTATTTTTGAACTCATTAGTATGCACGTTAAGCAACAGAGTATTGCAGAAAAATTACCCTAACGAATTCGTTTTCAACCGTTGCACGAGTCTGTTTTAACATAGCTTTAATTTTTTCTGTCTTATGTAATTTTCTAGAAGCTTAATCTTATCAAAATCATGACGATCTTATCAACTGTTAGGACTTTTATATCGTCTTCTTTTGTATTCTACTCGCTTTCTGTTCATTCAAGTGCTCATTATCAAAACAGCTAAACAATTTGAAATTCAATTTCTTATTCTTCAACGGCTTTTCGCCGTTTTTAGATTCATTTCTGGCTATCGCTTTGTTGAAATTGAGTCAATCTTATCTGCATTCCTTATTTCTTTTGTACGTGCATATGTATGCGTGAAGTAATTGCATTTACCTTTTGCGTCAAGTTTATTTTACACTTTTTCTTTATCGTTCTGTTTTTTAGGTATCTGTTATTGATTGCACAAACCTTTGATTATAATTTTATACTTGTCATGTGACCATTATGCCCTATGAAATATGTGTAAAGTAATAGGAGAAAGGCAACCATGGCATGGCGTTAAAACACCCAACATTTTTATTCAAAAAACCTAAAAACTATTCCAAATGTTTGTCAGAGTTACATATAAGCGAGCCCAGTGCCATATTTTATTTTAAAGCCGTTTAATTCCTTCTCGTATAATAAATTTACATACTTAGGGTCGGTTACTCAATTTCTGGTTAACACTAATTTCCGGTTAAACATAGTAAACTTATTAAATAATTTGAATGCCGCTTTTTAAAAACGCGGCAACCCTCTTAAAACATTTTAAATGACCAAACTAAAGATTTCCTAACACTCTTTCGCGTGACACCCATATTTTCATATTTCAATTAGTTTGCGTGTAAGTTAATTAAATTAGACTTTTTGAAAAGGTGGCAACCCTCTTCAAAAGTAGTTTAAAGCTAACACCTACTTTAATAACTTTTGTCTGACACTGTGATACATATTTTAATTAACTGCTGAATTAAGTTGAATAGATTTTTTTTTTTAATATGGTTCGGAAATAAAGCCTTGTCAAACCTATTTCGATTGATACCAATATTTTAGTAATTCACGCAGCTTTCTAAACACCTCAAAAATATTGTCACGAAACAAAAATACAAGATCACACAAAAACATTCAAATTGGATTTAATTTTAAAAAAAGGTGCAACCCTCCTACAGTCAAGTTATGCAACAAAGCTTTTCAAAACCATTTCGATTGATACGCATTTTGTAATAATTGGTTTAATTTTTTAAATAATTTGTTCTTAATTTTTTTGAAAAGGCGGCAAACTCTTTTCGAAAAAGATAAACCCCGTTGCACATCTACAGCCCGAGCCCTCTAAGGATACCTCACTTTTGAAAATCGAACAAACGGTACGGATCTGATGGTATTGATTATTAAATAATTTGAACTTAATTATTCAGCAGGTGGCAATTCTTTTCGAAAAAATAAAACCAGTTTGCACAACTAAAGACCAAGCGCTTTAATTTGACATCCCGTTTTGAAAATCGAGCGAACGGTGAAGATATTTTGTCCTGGACAATAAATCCCTTTGCGTATTATAATTATAGATAGATGTTTTAACTTCCTTGAATAGGATAAGATTTTATTTTTTTGAAGTTGTATTGCTTTGTATGAGTGAATGTTGTGTGAAATCAGTGTGAAGAAGTATTTTTTAAGAATTTCGTCGCTGCGCAGTCACTCATAAAATCATTTGTACAATTACCAATGGACACTTTAAAGGTATGCAAAATTGAAAACAATTTCTACACTTGAAGTAAATTAGATTTTTTTGTATTATATAATAATAACTTAACCTGAAAACAGCTTCCATAAGTTGGCGTCTACCATAGCGAAATACTGATTATTCGCTTATGGGAGCTATTACTTGCTTCTCGATTTATTACTGTCTCTGCGTTGTAAGAGTCGCCTAACAATCTGTCTAATAATTGCATATACATACATATATAATACTTGTAATATGTAGATTTTCTTCACCTTCTTGTTTTAAACTTTTTCCAGCTCTGGGAGCGGCCTATGGTACCGCCAAATCAGGAACAGGTATTGCTGCCATGTCAGTGATGCGACCTGAATTGATCATGAAATCCATCATTCCCGTTGTCATGGCTGGTATTATTGCCATTTACGGTTTGGTCGTAGCTGTCCTTATTGCTGGTGCTTTGGGGGAGCCCTCAGAGTACTCACTGTACAAGTAAGTTATTGTGTGATCTAGCTTGGGTCTACATTTCACATATTCAATATGCTCATTCTGGATTTTTTTTAATTTACAGGGGCTTCATCCATTTGGGTGCCGGTTTGTCGGTAGGTTTCTCTGGTTTAGCGGCAGGTTTTGCGATCGGTATAGTTGGTGATGCTGGTGTAAGAGGTACAGCACAGCAACCGCGTCTCTTCGTCGGTATGATTTTGATTCTCATTTTCGCTGAAGTATTGGGTCTGTACGGTCTTATTGTTGCCATTTACTTGTACACAAAATAAATTAATACAAAAATTACAACCACAACCAATCCAACATCCACATCAAATAAAACAACAAAATGCAAAAAATCAACCAACCAACCAAACAATCATTAAAATGCAAGAAACAAAACTCATCATAGAAATTTGTAATTGTATGAACGCAGCAACAAACAAGTAAAGGAAAACGAGAAGGACCACCATCAGAAATAATAGTAAAGGCAGTTGCCAAACAAATATGAATGCAATAATAGCAGCAGATCTCCCAGAGCCACAAGTATTGGTTGCAAAAGAGCCAAAGAAATTTAAATAATACACGTGGCTGGTTAAGTATTGAAATATTCATAACTTCATCGAATAAAGGATGAAGCGAATAGTTGCAGAAGTTATATACAATTTACATAATGTGCAACATTCAACATAATTCAGCAGGACATGCGTCGAACACAACAACTGTTACGTCTATATGTTTGTCTATACAATACCCGACTTTATTCTATTTATGTTACGTTACTTTTTGATTTTTATTTATTTTCGGGGAGCTAATACCATTATCCATAACAGCAAAAATTCAACAATTTATATTTGTATATACATAAAGTAACCAAGTGTTAAACTAAAATGAAAGATTGGGTCTCTTTTTTTCGCTGCGAAGAAATGGAAAACATAGTAACTACGTAAATGTTATAAATATTTCAACACTTAAATCGTTAGCAATAACAACGAGACTAGTTTACGTCAAAGCGTTATAGATCGCTGCCAATTTTTGCTAAGTTGCTGTGCTTTTTTAAGTGTTTTCTACTCTGAAAAATTATTTGTCGCGTTTTTGCGTTTATATTTGCAACGAGTTTCCGTTTTGTTTATGTTTTTTTCTGAAATTTCCTTTTGTTTTCTGTGTAATTATAACTATAAACTATTATAACTATAAATATTTTCAACAACGTTTATTGTTGTTGTTTAATGAAAAACTTGCGTAATTAAAGTAGAAAAGAAAACCACTTCAACCAAAAGCCGTAAAGTTTAAAAGAAAAATGGGAAATGAATCAACCAACAAACAAACTTGTTAAATAAAATGTACATGTAAATTAAAATTTAAAATTAAAATTAATTAAATTTAAATAAAGCAAGCAAAGAAACAGTATAAACTTAAAAAATATTAAATATTTAGTGAGAAACCACCAACAAAGCAACTACAAAGACAACCCATTCAATGTAATAAAAACAACCACCAGCAACAAAGTGATGAGAGCACGAATTAAATAATTGAAGGCGAGCGGGATATGGATACTGGAGTCAGTAGAGTATGATCATGACAGAAAAGAGCACCGAGCCCCAATGTTTGATTATTTCATTGTTGAACGCAAGCTATGTTTTCGAATTTCGAAGATTTCTCTTTGACCAACTTCCTAACTCGGCGCTTGCGCATATCGCATGTGAACACACACACACACACACACATCGAGGAGACGTTTATCAAAATCATGCGCACACAAGATGCGTAAACACTACTTCAAGCCTACTTTTAGGCGATATAATATTTCTTGTCATAGCTCTCTGCGCTCGACATATCGGCTTTGCGGCTCGCTTTGAAAGCTTCTTGTTGCATTGATTGAAGGAAAGATCACATGTTGAGAACGAACAACGGCTCGTCAAAATTGCGGCAATTAAGAACTATAAAAATAAACAAAAGACGAACTTTTACAACTAAAAGAATACATCTCGGAAAGGGAGCACACACAAAGGAATGAATGAATCAACATCGATATGCCCAAAACCATCTAAACTCATGCCAACA